TCCACATAACAGACTTTCCACATAACAGACTTTCCACATAACAGACTTTCCACATAACAGACTTTCCACATAACAGACTTTCCACATAACAGACTTTCCACATAACAGACTTTCCACATAACAGACTAGTCTGTTTACACAAATCAAGTTGATTGTGCAGGGGTTGACTGTATACGGTATGCCAATATTGTAAATTTCAATTACTGTAGTCTTCCTTCAGCATTAATCACATGCATATATGTGCTGTTTTTGCAGGTTGTATGGTTCACAGCTCTCTTCCCATATGTTGTGCTGGCAATTTTGCTAGTACATGGAGTGATGCTGCCTGGGGCACAGATTGGGATAACCTATTATCTCAGCCCAGATTTTTCCCGCATTGCTGATTCCAAAGTATTGTGGCATATATGCATGAATTTATCCATAGTTTTCCTATGAAATGAAAAAAATATTTATTGTATGGATGTGTTAGGTGTGGGTTGATGCAGCAACACAGGTATTTTTCTCTCTTGGGCCTGGCTTTGGTGTTCTTCTGGCCTTTGCCTCTTACAACAAGTTCCACAATAATGTTTACCAGTGAGTGTTTTGTTTTTGATGCAATTAAATTTATTACATGGTATAGTCAAACAGGGATTTTTCCATTGCAGTGATGCCCTACTCACAAGCTGCATTAATTCACTCACAAGCTTTGTCTCAGGCTTTGTAATCTTTTCTGTGCTGGGCTACATGAGTCAGAAACTTGGCAAGGACATATCTGAGGTAAGATTGAGTGTTATTCTTCAAGGTTTTATACATTTCCCTTGATGATTTCTGTATTTTATGTACTAGATAATGCTGGGGTGCTTTTTAATTTTTCATTTTGACAATAATGCATTATTTTTTGTCAGGTTGCAACTGAAGGACCTGGACTTGTGTTTATTGTGTATCCTGAAGCCATTGCCACAATGCCTGGTTCAACTTTCTTTGCAATTGTTTTCTTCATGATGCTCCTCACTTTGGGACTTGATAGCTCAGTAAGTTATTGGACAGGATCCCAAAACTATATTTGTGATTGCATATTATTTCTGTATTTTTTAATATATCTTTCTTTCTTGTTTGTGGTCCCAAAAAAATGCATAGTTTGGTGGATCAGAGGCCATCATCACAGCATTGAGTGATGAGTTCCCCATTGTGAAGAGGAACCGTGAAATTTTTGTGGCAGGGCTATTCAGCCTCTACTTTATAGTGGGCTTGGCAAGTGTATCTGAGGGAGGCTTCTATGTTTTCCAACTACTGGACAGCTATGCAGCTACATACTCTATGCTCTTTGCAGTGCTCTTTGAAGCAATTGCTGTGTCTTGGATCTATGGTGAGAAAATATATATTGCATATACTTCATTTTCATTTCTCAATAAGAATTCATATGCACATACAAGTCAACCCCTGTCTAACGGACTTGATTTGTGCAAGGGACAAGTCTGTTAGACAAAAAGTCCTTTAGTGTTTAAGTTAATCTATTTTTTAATTTTTAAAGTTAAAAATTGTGATTAAAATTTGGTAAAGAAGTCTGTTTGGCGGATTTTGTCTGATAGGCGGGAGGAAAAACTGCTTGCAGAGCTGGTCTGTTCAGCGAAAATCCCTTACACGGGAGGTCTGTTAGGCGGGGGGCCACTGTACTGTATTAATAATACAGTATATCATGTGAAGAAGGACATAGTGATATATATGTAGCTTATTGCTCCTTGAATGTGGAATGGCAGAAAACAATATATAAATTGCCAGCTCAGTGTTGAAATATAATTTTAACAAAATTTTAAGAATTTGATGGACATTTTAATACGAGCTTGAATAAATTAATTTTTTCAATATTTTTATATGGACACCATTGTACCATGATGCATTATTTTAGGTCAATTTTGGTACATATTGCATACTTGTATCATGCAGTATATCATAATTGGTCAATAATAAATACCAGTTTGTGCATGTTTTCTTGCCTTTAAATGAAAATGTATAAAAATCAAGAGCACATATTCCATGTAAGTGATGTAAATATTGATTATTATTTTCATTTTATTCATAATTCATATTTTATTTATGTTCACTGCTATATAAAGCAACCTTTTTTAAAACAACTTTATATCTACAATTTTTAGTCAGGGATGATGTTTGGAAAATAATTCAGTTTTCTGAAGGAAAGAATGTGCATTGCAAGTACAGTTTACAACCATGAAACTATTGCATACCCCAGCCTTTTTTCAACAAAATGAATATGAAGTTCAAAACAATATTTGATGAATCTGAGCTTGTGTGCTGATGTAGACCAGAAGTGTTATTGATGTATGTTAAAAAATAAATATATTTAAATAATCTAATAATGCATGAGGAAACAAAAGCAAGATTTGCCAAAGCAGGAGAATTTAACATTGAACATTTTTACCACCATCAGGTATTGACCGCTTTTCAGAGGACATCCATGATATGCTTGGGTTCTATCCTGGCATCTATTGGCGTTTTTGTTGGAAGTTTGCAGCACCTGTCTTCCTCCTGGTATGTAACACAAAAAACCAAAATACAGCCCTCTCAATAAACTTTCAATTTCAAGGCATGCTAAAAAGGATTGGGAAATCTAAATGTATCTTTTGCATTGAAGTGCCAAGTTTGTTGAATTGAAAGACCTTCTGTTTCTAGCATTCATTCTTTCCAGTCTTGTATAGGGATGATAAAGCAAAAATAAAATTATAAATTGTTTTGATTTTTTATCTGTTTCTTAGTTTATCATTGTTTATGGACTCAAAAACCATGAACCATTGAGAATGGAGAACTATGAGTACCCAGCATGGGCTAATGGACTTGGCTGGGCCATTGCTGCTTCCAGTGTTCTCATGATCCCTCTTTTTGCGGTTGTCCAATTCTCATTAGCCAAGGGCACCTTCAAGCAGGTGAGTCATGCATGTCTTATCCAATTTTTAAAAATGGTTCAAAAGTTGTTCTGTTCTTTACAATGAAGTGCTTATTTAGGTTATTCCAAATTTTTCATTACTACAACATACACAGAGGAAATTTTTTCCAAGTTTTTCATTCAATATTTTCCAAACTTCAACATATATAGAAGAAATCTCAAGTACACACATTAGAGCCAAAAAAAACAATTGTTTGGAACAAGAATAATATCCCACTTGGAGGCATTTTCTGGAAAAAACATTCTTCAGATATAAGTTGTTTCTGGACATATCAGAATAATAATTCTGAAAATATTTTTTGAAAATTGCCAAGTTTCCCAGCATGTTTTTTTACTACACAAATTTATAAAAATAAAACCAATGAAGTTTCCCCATAGTTGGAAATAAGCCTCTGCCTGAATTCCCTTTGAAGTAATTTTTATTTTCTTAGGTGTAGCATCTTTTTATTGAAGAATAAAGGAGATTTAATTTTAAAAAATACATAGAATTGATTCATTTTTTAGAGTCAGAAGATAATTCTTGTCCAAGAATTGCAAGAAAAACTTCCAAAATCCCAGGAAAATGAAAGTATTGTGATTTCCTTAACTTTGTAATACAGTTGAGCCTTGATAACTCAAACCTCCCTAAGTCAAATAATCTACCTCCCTAAGTTAATTTCTTTTCAGATCTCTGCCTGAATCGCCTTAGAAACAATAATGCAGAAAAAGACCTCCTTAAGTCAAAGGTCTTCCTCTCAAACCTCCATAAATTTCATTTTCTGTGGCCTGTTGGCTATTTTTTTCTTGACACCAAAAAACAAAAAACAAAACAATAAAAACAGAAATTTATGTGTTTTAAATGAAGGGAAAATTTAATTGGGAAAATGAACCCCTGCCTCCAAGTTCTGCATCCTTTTAACTCATTTAAGAAGACATGTAAGCCACAGAATATTACTATATACAATTTTGGGAAATTCTTCTATATTTTCCAGAACAAAAGGGCTTTGTTTTGTAGCTCAGCCCTCTAAAATTCAAAACCTTCCTAAATAAAATTTTTTTGCTGGTCCCTTGAAATCTGACTCATTTAGAGAGGCTCAACTGAAATTATAATTTTATTGCTGTGCCAGTAGTGATTATATGCTGGATAATTTAAAGCTTTTTATCTGGACAAGTTTTCCAAAAATAAGTTGTTCATGCTTTTTTCCATTTTCATTAATATGGTCATGAACAAAGCATATATATTTTTTCCCAATGAAAGCATTTTATCAAGAGTGCAGGTGTGCAGCTATGGAGCTATAGAGAAACGTATTCCTCACCCATGTCAAAAGTTTGCATTCATCATCAATCCATTTGAAATTATGGCAATCATAGATTTTTCTTATAGTTTTCAGATCTTCTTAAAGCTATTTTTTACCACATTCTTTCAACTATTTTAACACATTCTTTCAACTATTTTATCACATTCTTTCAACTATTTTAACACATTCTTTCAACTATTTTAACACATTCTTTCAACTATTTTAACACATTCTTTCAACTATTTTAACACATTCTTTCAACTATTTTAACACATTCTTTCAACTATTTGAATTAATATTTCATTGGTACAATAGTACCTATATACCAGTACATATTACAATAAAATTTATATAACATCCAAGTGTACAAAAAAATCTACATTATTTCATGATATTGATGGGTCTACTTCTAACTTTTATTGAATGAATGAATGAACAGAACACTTTATTTGCCGCATCTCAGCGTTCACAAGGTTCAATCAAGATTTCCACAACCACACCCCTTTTATTAACTTTTATTTGTGTAGTCTCTCAATATAATAGCTTGAGTGAACAATAGCAGTGGTCACAAAATGATGATCGAGTAATACAATCTCCATTCAATCAACAAGACTCCAATTACATGGAAGTACAAGACTGACAAAGTTTCTTGAACTTGCCCTGTATTTTTAGTAAACATGCATATTAAATAGCGTCTATCTTTTGTGATGTGACAGAGAATGAAGGCCATGATTACACCATGGCGAGACCAGATAAAACAGCAGCAGCAGCAGCAGCCACAACAGCAAATTCAGCAAGAGGACAATTCGGCACAACAGGTTTGACCGCGTGTTTTTGCACACATTTTTTATCGCTTTTCTTAAAAAAAAAATCCACATGCTATATATATGTTGACTGAAATCAAAAAATCAATCAGTGTGTATACTGTGCAATGAATGACTATATACGAGGAATGGAAGTTATAAAAAAAAAAAAAGAGGAATAACTCGCGAAATGCACCGGGTATATATATGCTTTCTGTTTTGCATCAAATCAGCGAATTGCTTACTTGCTTTTAATTGTTGTGAGTCTTTTTTGTTGTTGTTGCCGAAATTACAGAGCGCAAAAAATGCAATTCATGCCTGTTTGTTACCAGAAAATGTCACTGATTTTTTTTTTATTCCGAGTAAAGTTTATATTTTGGTATAATTTTTTTTTTCCTTTTTTAGGGTTCTCTGAATAACTTCTGTTGGGACCCTTATTTTCAAGATACAAGGCAGGTTTTGACTTTGTGTACAAACAATGATGACTTTGCTATATATTATTGGGAAGCTGGTGGGAAAAAGCTTCACACTCAAGGATGATATTCATCATGAATCAACCAGGCCTGAGGAAGATGATGACAACACCCTGGTTCAGGGTGACTTGGTGCCATAAAAAATCATGCTTTCCAAAAAGATGAGCTTTCATGGTACCAATCAGGTGATGGTGATTCATTCTATGGACACTCAATTAGCTAGCCTATTTTTAGTGTGTATCTAAAAAGAGGAATATGTGGGGAATTTGAATTGACAGAAAACAGAGAAGGTGTATCACAATTTCAGAAAAGAGTTGGCAGGATGAAAAGCAATTTTAAAAACATGGAAAGGTCATGAAACTGGTGGTGGATTGCTTCTGTTAACAGCAGCAGGAAAACATGACTAAACAAACCAAACATATTGTTCCCATTGAAAATCATGATATATCTGAGAATCTCTGAAATCTATTCATCATTTCCTCAGCTTTTGAAATTGTCTGTCAACAAATTTCTTGAAAAACATGTCAAGAATAATGTGCAGCAAGGTTGCAATACTGTACTTGATCTTGTTTTGCAATATGCAGTGCCTCTGGATCTTTTCCAGAGATAAAGTATTTTTATGTTGTAGAGATTGAGAATAATTTCATTTGAGCTTCCATTATATGGAGTTTAATGCCTCTATTTATAAATGGGGACCTTTTGAGATTGAAGGAGTACTTCATAAAAAGCTTTTAAAATAACTGATTACTGGAAATGTCCTTGTATAAGCATATTGTGTGCTTTCATCAATAATTCAAATGTACATATTCATTATGAACACTTATTACTAGTGAAGAACTAAGCTCTTGATCTAGCTCCATGATTATCTCCTCAGTGCTGTTAACCACAAATAAAAGCCTAAAAATCTGAATTTCTGTCCCATATGTTGTGTAAAAGGCAAGTGTAATATTGTGTAAATCTTGGGTGCATATCCAGTCTGCTACTTTTCTACAAAAAAAATGGTGAGATGACTGCTGCTTTTTTTCTCTCACCAGCTGGGTTTGCACCCTTTTGTTTCATGTCAGCATTGACATTGATGGGCTGCTGAAGGCTCTGCTGATGACAGGGAAATAGCCCTGTCAGCCTTTTTTCTCCTCCCATGCAAATCACTTTCACTCTCCCAGTGGGGAGAGAGATGGTAAAAATGTGCATCCTCAGCACCTATCATCCAGACCAGCATACAGCAGCAGCCATGATGCAGCACTATATTTCCCACTTCCCCTTTGATGCTGCAGCCTCTCTCTATAATATTACTCCTGATGTATTGGGGCAAATTCCAACCAAGACCCAGCTTTGTGCTGCTGCCACCAATCTGGGGCCTGACCAAGAGTGACCCAGCATGTACAATGGGTCACTCCCTGATGGAATTCTTGTGTCATTGCTGGGGGAATTTCCATATCAAGCCTTTTCACCCATTCATCTCTCCCCCTTGAAGAAAAGGTCTGCCATCCCCCCTTTTCTTCTTCTGCACATTGTGCAAAATCTCCTTTTTTATTATTATATACTTGCGCCTGTCTGTTTATGGGGGACTTGCCTGGTTAAATTAATGACCCAGTATATAGAGAAGAGCTGACTAGAAAAAGCTGGAAGGAAGGACTCATTATAGCGCATGGGGGGCCCCATCCAGTGAAAAATGTCCTTATTAATTTTATTTCACACCAGGACTTCCCTCCTTGTTAACTTGGGAAATTTCCAGGGCCTTATGCCAATTTCCACAGCATCCCCCCTCCATATATATATATATACAGTATATATATATATATATGAAGCTCACTGTCAATTTCCTCCACACTTCCTCAATTTCTCTCCACATGAGCATCAGGTGTGATTTATATATGCTTGCACCCTGATCATATCTACCATACAGGACAGAGAAACTCGTTTTTCATGGACAAGTTTATTTTTATTTTATTTTTTCAATAAGGCCCATCAGCCCACAGCAAGTTGAGTAGACTTTTGTGTAATTGTTTTCATGCGGGTTTGATGCCTTCATACATATATAGAGCCAGGTCAATTGACACAGGCAAGACTGGGTGACACACTACTATACCCATGAGGTGGTGTGGAGCACTCATCATGGATGAGTGATGAATGGCAGCAGCCCACATCATCCCAAAGGCATGTCTGCTGTGTGAGAGTGTGAGTGAACAGGGATAATTGAGCAATCAGCTGGGAATATAAGGAAAGTTCATCTCAAGGGCGTGTTCATGAGCATTATATAAACAGAATGAGACAGAGAGAGAGAGATTAGTTGATGAATATATACATCCTCTTATACAAATTGGAGTTATATATAGGTTTTTAAAGTCTATGATGCACATCAGCTTATAAATTGAGGGTTTGCATCCATCTGAAGATGACAAGTATATTTTACATGCAGTATAAAGAAATTTATTTTTTTGAACAATAGATGAAAGCTATCTGTAAATTATTTAATTTTTTGCGGGCGCCCTTTTTATCAGTGGATGTATGAAACCCTAAAGCATTATATGTGCAAATATCTGGGCCACATCACATACATCATTAGACTTATTGGAATGAATATCATTAAAATTATTGTGCTGTAGGTCATTGTTTGCCGTATATAAAATAAAAATGTCACTCTCAGCTCAAATCCAAAGATTTTATCATTGGAATTCTCTGAGGCATTGCAGTTTGAATAAAAGGGTTTATTTCATTTCAAAATGAATGTTTTCTTAAATGCAGTAAATTATTTCTAAATGTGAGATGGAGCCTATATACAGTGGGGTCTTGGCTTACAAATGCCCCAGCTTACAAACTTTTCAGCCAACAAATTTTTGTTTTTGGCATCAGCTGCTCCAGCCAACCAAACCATATGACTCAGCTAACAAACTTTGAGTTCTCCAAATGCTCATGGATCTAAAAAAAATTCTTTAGCAAAATCTAGGGATTCATGTTTAAACTTATTCAATAAATCATCTAAGAAAGTCTCAAAAGTTTAGTGACCAAAACTTGAACACCACTTTTTATTCATTCTAATTGGGTTAAAATTCAACAGCTTTTTAGCACTAAAATTGCCCAGCCTTTAAGTCCTTATAGTTTGTTAATACGTTTGTGGTGTTGCATTTGAAATTTTCAAGAAGAAACCTGTATAGAGAAACTCACTTTAAAATGTCACTTCTATAGATTGTTTTACCACAATGTTGCCTTGGGAAGATTCAATAAATTTTAGGCCTGAAAAGTATTTTTTAGGACGCATTTTCTTGCATTTCATGGGCACTTTCCACGTTCTGGAACCAATTAATATTATTCCTATACTTTCTCAAGAGAAAATGTAATTTGGCTTACAAACTATTTGGCTAACAACTTTGTTCAGGAACCACTCAAGTTTGTATATGCTGAGACCCCACAGTAATATAACCCCTAAATTGTATTTAAAAATAAGTTTTTATGATGATTGACAAATAAATATACAGAGTCAAGGGGAGATTACAAAAAGAAAGAAGATGGCGCCATGCTTCATTTGTACATCAAGGTTGGGATTTTTTTTTAATTTTCTAATGAAAAAATAAATCTTGTGATCATAATGAGCTACATCATAAAAATTACTTACTATACTTACTAATAACTTACTGAGTTACTTTTAAAGAACTTAGCCTTATTCAAATCAAGATTTTATATTACAGTTAACGAATAGGTTTTTTTCAATGAATTGGTTCCAAAATAAGATTCTTTGTCAATATTTCACCAACGATAGATCATATTATTTTGTGCACAAAAAATTCGGGGTATTTTATGTAGATTATTCAAAATGTTTACCATGGAATAAAAGATATTTAAAATCATTCATTTTAGTTTGTATATGAGATTATACGTATACGGTATACAACATTCTACGCGACAAAATATGGTTTCAATAGTTATTTAAGAAAATATTGCACATCTGGAAAACCTGTTTTATACCAGATTCCGTTTTTGATACAGGCAAAAAGAGTATATATATGCTGTATAATTTACTGTGGAAATGAATGCTTGACTTGGAGACCTGCGATGCATGACGGGAACGTCTTGAAAATTATGCACAAAATCTATGCAGTGCAAATATTCCAGAAATATTCAATGAATCAAAAATACCGTCATTATGCTCATTTTTTTCTGTGTACTGTTTATATATAGAACTGCTGCTGCTGATGAACAGCATGCGATCACTTAAATTCATTTTTAGCTATAGGAGAGCAGCAGGATCTTTTCTCAGCCATCACTGATGTATCTTGCAATTCTTGCTGGGACCAAAGCGCCAAAGTACATCCCTGCAGTTACACAGTACTTTCTGATTTTTTGTCATGCCAGGGAAAATGTCTCAAAATGATGGTTTTAATATTTTAATCTATAATTCCCGAATAACATATCCATCAGTAAATTTTGAGCTGTGAAATTACTTCCGAATTTTATTTATTTTCCCGAAGTATTGTACTCCCGAGTGTTGAAATTTAGCGATTCACCTGATGCATCGTTCATCAGCAAACAGCAATCAATGAATCCGCCGATTGTATACGTCAGTCGTTTTGGCGGTCTGCGTTGCGGATTTTCGGCAACAAGCAGGATAGAGCTTACAAAATATGCAAGAGCGTTCATCGTGATTGTGAGCCGGTTGATTTTCATTGGTTGTGTACTTCTGTAAGACATCGTGCGATACATTTGATGAAATATATGACATCTGAAATATGTTATCTTCAATATTCCGTAAACTTATGGCTATTGATGCATTTTGTTTCGTTTTAAGCATGCACGCGGTCAAGAAATTAGTTGCCCAACTGTGCAACTACCCTCGGGAAATACGACCCGTGGGTGAAGTCCCGCGCCCATCTTTCCGGCGTTATTGATATTGCGGTTTTTTCCTGTGATTTGCGCAACGTGTTAGGCATTATGCTCGAGAACAATCAGTTATGAAAGCTGTGTTTGCTTCTTTGACGTAGTGAAATATTTAATTGGAGGCGATGAATAACTCGAAGGAATCCAAGGATGATATTAGTCAATCCAGCAGCTCGTCAGGTTCGTACAGAGATAAAGATTCGACTGACATCCCGATTAACTGGACCGTTTGCAATCGCAACAGCCCCTAGTGTGGACAAACTCTCTCAAATTCTCGATGAATTGGATCTTAGCGCTGGAGAACTGGCTCCGGATATGCCGGGAAATGTAACGTTTCCAGATCCTGATAGTTCGACTTTGGAGATGGCTCTGAAAGTCCTTGCTCAGGAAGGTTCCGAAGGTTCGTCTTCGGATATTTTACCCATGGTGATGTGAATCTTTAGCTTTTGCGTGAAATATTTAGGAAGTCTTTTGTCAAGTGATACTGCTCGAGATTTGGAAGCAATTCTTAAGCAAGTTGATGATCTGGGAAGTGAATTGCAAGGTGCTATGTTCGAAGACAACCGTACTCTGGACGACGCGAGCTGCATTAGTGCACAAGAGCATGAGTTACTCCTGTATCCAGATGGGCTGAATGCACACAGTGGAAATACTGGCATCTGTGAATGTCGGGCATCTGACGCCCCCGAACAAGAACCGACCAGCGAAAGCACTGAAGTGTACGAACGCTTCGAGGCTCTCATAGATGCTCATCTGCTGAAGGAGCGTGATCCGCGTTGTGAACTATTTATGCTAAAGAATTCATCCGCCATCAGCCGGGCCACATTTGAAGAACTAAATTCGAATGTGGAGAAGCTCATGAGTAAGTATTACTCCGTTTGCGAATTCTAAAAGATTTTTTGACGTTGTCTGTCTCGTTTTTTCAGACGCACTCAAACGTGAACGACTCGAGAAATGTGATCTAGAAGCTCGTTTGAAAAAGCTGGAGTCAAAAACGTCTTCTCAACCGTATCGAAAATTCAGCAAAAAACGAGGCAATTCGGAAGTATCCCGGGTGGAAGAGCTTGAGGAAACTGTGAGAAAGCTGCAAGATGAAAATGTATACCAAGATCGAATGATCGTCGGATATGAGCGCGAGAACACTAAGCTGCTCGAAGAATTGGCTTCCCTCAGGGTGATTATTTTCTTTTTTCAAAGAATCCCTTGAATATTCTTTGCAATTCTGGTCAAACTATTCGCGCCCGATGAGAAAATTGTTCGTTTTAAATTTAATCATTCGTTTAACGAGATCGTGCAATGCAGGCTTTCCTCGATGAGGAGATCAACTCAGGTTTTCTCACCGACATCAGCATTATAATTTAAAAACAAGGTCCTTCGAAAATCATTCCAAATTAAAACCTTATTATTTTGTGCTTGATGCAATGCATTTTTTCCTTATGCTGACAACCGGAAACGGATTTATGATTGAATTGTTTTTCCTATCAGATATAGCCAAAAAATTGCGAAGAGGTTTAAAACATGCGCTGAAAATTAAGCTGAATACCCAGCGTTCGAAAATCGATGCATAGTATAATACATTGAAAAAAAATCAAGAAATTTCAAATGTTGTATTTCTGCAAATTATTTGTTTTTTTTTTGCTTTTTTTTTGGAGGTGTTTACATCATTACCGAAGAAATTTCACGACTGAGTATTGTTGATTCAAAGAGCATGCGTGCCTGAAAATTCTCAAAAATTTCGCTTTTGTGTCCATTTATTGTGGCTTATTGTGTGTTGTTACTGTGATTTAATGCTTGTTCTAGTAGAGTAAACTGAAAAAAAAAATTACTGCATTTAGTTGGTCCTATAGTTACTTGTGTAAATACCGTATTTTTAACGAAAATCGACTTCACTCTCTGCCAGAAAGATTGAAATATTTTAGCGCGATTCATTTAGAAGATTTTTATTTGATTAAAAGCTGTTCTGAGCGTTGGATTGAATAGAGAATTATCATTTTAAACATTTTCCAGGTGAATTTTCAGAAGAGTTTAGGAGTCTGGGAGAAAGAGAAACGTGAGTTCATGTTGCGTGAAAGGATGATCGTGAAAGGAGTTGTTCGGAATTCGGGCAGTGACGGGGAAAACAAAATCGCGAAGAAAATCGCGGACATGGAATATGGGATGAGAGTCGCCAGAGAAGAGATGGGTTACAAGGAGCCACCTGATACATTTCAGCAAGACATTGAAAAACTTCAAAATGCCGCCGGAGAGGAAGCTAATCGCATAGATTTTTATCAGCGAATGGTGAAAGACCTCTCTGAGCAGCTAAGTGAGGTCAGCAAATGCAATCTGGAAAATCCCCACGATTGCGTTGCCAGTGAGTTACATGAGCAAACGGGCGTTTAGTGAATTATGGAAATTCTATCAAAAATTGTCAGTACAGTAGCAGTAATTTTTTTTCTCTGAAATTTATGATTGATTTGATCATGTTCGTAGCAGATGTTTTCAACTGTGTATTGGAAACAATTTACCGCCGTTTTTCGGACAGGAGCTACGGTACTCCGTGTCAAAATAAATTTTCATTTAAATTCGGCGTGTAGTGGAGATGGTTTGCGAAATTCAATCGCGATTCTCGCAATAACCTTTTGCACTTGAACGTATGTCCTACCCTTTTTGGCGATCATTCAGATGTCTCCTAAATCATTAACTGGACTGAAATTAGCTCAGCTGAACCTGGAGTAACTGGATGAAGAAATATAGCTGTTCAGGCGACACTTGTGTAAGCGTAAGGTTATGAACGTCGCGTGTTCAAGTGGAAATGATTCATCAGAGTTGTCGCATCTGAACTACTGTACATATAAAAAAAAATGTTTTCCCGTTGTTCTCGTGAAACAATGTGAAAAATAAATCCACGCCGCACTCGTGTGATCTTGGCTGTGAAATTCAGTGTCATTGAAACCCTGGGTATTGTTTCGATCACAGATGCCGAAATGAAGTTGAACTTGGTGAAGAAAGCGCTGGACGAAGGGAATGCCATAAACGAAGAACTGAGAGCTTTATCCGAACGGAACGAGGCGGCGTTCAAGGCTAAATTAGCCGCGTGGTCGTACGAACGGAGCTCTATGCTCGCCGCCATCAAGAACTTGAAGGAAGAACGACAGCAACTCCAACTCGCCATCAGTGCTGTGAAACGTGGCAAAGAAGAAACGGAACGAATTGCTCAAGCTGCTGCTGCTCATGACGCCTCTTTCGCTCCGCCGCCTGTGGTCGAGAACAAGCTCTCGTCCGGGATTTCGGCCTTTATCCATCACATTGATTCTCAGCGGATCAGAGATCATCAAGTTTTTAGGGAAATGCACCTGAGAACGATACAAAAATTAACTGCAGAGTTTCAAGTAAGTTTAGTTGCCCCGTTTTGAATGTGCTATTTTTCCCCATTATCCTTCTTGCTTCGGATACCCGGACGAGGTTTGAATCATGAGTTTTTGAGTCATGATTTTCCTTTGTTGGATGGAAAATATTTTTACCGTGACGTTCAACCATTCCCTAGCCCCTTACAACATTTTATCTCCCAGGTTTAGATGATGATGATATGCAGGATTGTTACGGAGTCTCGTAAATTCGCCTTAACTTCTTTAATGCGAAAGTGGTTAATCCTCGTAAATCGAGTTCAGCTTCAGTTGATCGTTATTGGTCAAGCGAATTATGGCGAAAATGTTGTGATAAAAATGTGAACAATGTCATGAGATAATTAGGCAGTGGAATTTCTTTTTTTCGAATTACAGTAGGGTCCCGAGATGAAGACGGGATTGTTGTTCGCCCTTTTCGGAATGTCCGCAAGTCGAATCACGGTTTCCCATAGACTTCAAAGATAACATTTTTACTTGGTTCGTCTTTTTATTCAAATAAAAAATTGAATAAAAAATTTTTCTTCACTTCAAGAGGCAGGAAATACTTTTGCAGAAAAAAAACCCACACAGAATCTGCCCTTCTGACGTGAAAAGGAGCCCAAAAAGCAAAGAACAAGCACTCATCTTGCTATACTGTGAGCAGTTGACGGGGGAAAACCCCGAAGAAGAGAACCGCAAAATTATCCCATTTTATATTATCAATTATAGTTGATTTATAGTGAGTTTTATTTCCAATTTTTGCGAATATAAATCGCTCAATTTGTTCGAGAGATCAACATTTTGAAGTAATCCCTTTATTCCATAGACATTTTAGAACAATGTCTACACTGTACTGTATTATGAAACATTGTCTGGATGTTGGGCAGGTTTTTTGAGTTTTAAGAGCCCATAAGTTGAACTGTCA